CCCCCTCCTTCCCCGGCAAGGGGCATGGGGTTGATCCCTGGTCAGGGAACTAAGATCGCGTTGTGTGGCCAAAAAAAAAAAAAAAAACAAAGTCAGAGGCAGAAGGTCTGACTCTAGTCCTGCCTCTGATACTAACTAGTTCAGTGACCTTAGGCAAGTCACTTAACTGCTACATATTCTCATTTACTCATTTTTTACTATTTAATTTTTGTACAATTTTTAAAAGGTTACACTCCATTTACAGTTATTACAAAATATTGGCTGTATTCCCCATGTTGTACAATGAATCCTTGGAACCTGCCTTACACCCAATAGTTTGTACTCCCACTCCTGTACCCTTATATTGCCCCCCCCCTCCCTTCCCACTGGTAACCACTGGTTTACGCTCTATATCTGTGTCATTCGCTCATCTTTTAAATGAGTAAGTTAGACTGTGTGATCCGGAGTTCTCTGCAGCTCTGACAAGTCATAGCTTACCAAATATTTACCGCCACGTGCTCCCTTAAGAGCTGCACAGCATATTTTATAGAGTGCTTCACACAAAGCCTTGCGCATACTACACGTGTAAAAATATTAAGGATATGAATTCTGCGGACTAAGTTAAATGATTATTATCTGTGCCGTGAGCTTCTCTTGCAAAGAGTCGTGAATTTTTAGGTTGGCATAGGCTTTAATTTTCTGATGAATAGAGTTGTGTTTCCTAGGTCTCTCTGGGTCGAGAATGGTACATACACACCATCTACACAGTAAGATCCAAAGACAACGCCAATCGAGGCCTTGGCAAACGAAGCGTGGAGTACCAATACCACTCTCTGGTGAGTAAAGGGAAGCCCCAGGCAACTTCCAAGAGCCGGAAGAAGAGGGAAATCAGGAGCACACCCCCGCTGGTGTGGGAAATCGGGGCTGAAAACAACCGAGGAACAAACATCCAACACATCGCCCTGGACCGCAGCAGCAGGAAGCAGATCCCCCAGGGGAGGGTTCCTCCTGACGGCGTCCTCCCCCGGGAGCTCAACCGTCCCACCTCTGAGGTCAGTCTGGTCATGGTGGTGGGAGGCGTCGCGGTGGGACTCCTCGCACTCTGCCTCACTGCCATGGCAGTGATGATGCGCCAGGGCAAGAGTGGCAGGAGAAAGGACACCCCCAAGGGCTCCGGCAGCACCGAGCCCATGATGCCCCCGCGGGGCCCCCGCAGCGACAGCTCAGAGGTTTGACGGCCACAGGTGGAATTCAACCTTTTCCTCAAGCGCGCAGGAAAAGACAATGGAAACCCAATGCTTCTGTCAACAGCAGAGAATTGGGGACTTCTGTGACAAAGCTGCTCAGAGGACCTGACTGTACTAGTGAACTTTGATTTGCATGCTGTCCGCTCGTTCAGGCATCAAAGGACAAATTCAGACCACAGACCACATCTTTCCTCTTGCCCAGAAGGCATCAAGTATGTATCCAGATGTACACAGAGCCATAGATGGACGGTGAGGAATGTACTTCTCATCTTAGGCATTTTCTCTACACAGTAGAGATGAACCTATTCAATGGTGCTAACAGACCCCTTCAGAAGTTTAAGAGGAGTCTATTGTTGCTATATTAGTATGTCTTGAAGGTGCAATTATCACATTGTTTATTCATTGTATAACAGTTTATTACTAACAAGGTTTTAAGTGGTAGTCTCGAAGAATGATGAATACACTGTTTATTGTGACAAGTTTTCTAATAGGCGAAGACAGCATGGAATTACGACCGAGGGTAGCTCAGCCCACAAATCACATTTTTTCCTACTGGAGAGAGAGTGGAAGGAAAGACAGAGGGACAGTAACCTACTCACTTCAATTTGGATTGCTTCTCATCTTCGTCGGACCTGTCTTGTTTCATTTGCTTATTTAATTTTAAATTAAACCAAAGAATATGTTAAGTGTGGAGAAAATTGCTGAAGGGTGACTGCTCTGTTCGGGTGCCTGGTCGGAAATAGAATTCTTGCATGATAATACGGTATTGGTGCTCATCGGAGAGGGTTGGCGACATTTTGATGATGAAGAAATGCCATAGAGTTAGATTCACATTTACAAGACAATGTTCTTTAAGAACTGAGCCTAGATGTTTGCAGTATTGAACCCATAAGTGATCAGGACAAATATCATTCTGACGGTGAAGGGAGAAAGTGGTATTTATTAATATAATATGTTTAACCAAAGTGCCTCTTACCTATACTTTACAGAATAAAAGAACATTTTAACAATGACACATGAGTTTAACCCTCACAACAGTATCACACAGCAAGGTCCAAAACTCAAATTGTCCAGAAGACATTTTATTAGCTTTCTAATAGACACCTGGTCCAAACGATGGAAATCCCTTCAACCGTCATTCCAGAGATGATCTTAGAGGTGGCCAGCATCACTGATCATATTCTTTTTTTTTTTTTTTTTTTTTTTGCCATGCCACGCAG